CCCCTAAAGTTTCTGAAAATGAATTGACGCGGGGGGTATCCATTCTGTGGTGCTTCAAGCTCTTCGCAGTGCGTTGGCGGGCGATGTGTTGCAATGTCTAGAGACAGGAGGAATATAGGTCTCAATCTTGTTATATCCGTGATCGCACCGTCGATTCCGCGGACATTGCCTGGAGACACCAAACTGATCTCCTTCCTCGGATCTCCATAGTAACAATACATTGTCTTCAACCCGTTTCTCTGCTTTTCGAAGAGGAAGCCGAAGTCATTTCTATAGACTTCAGGCACGTCGAATCGACCTACAGTGACGTCAAGCAACTCCAGGTGAGACATTGCATGTCCATCAAAGGTCCCTCGAATGCTTCGGACGAATTTATCATGATCATTCTGCACATCTCCAGATTGATCAAACACAACAAGCGCGATGTGAGGCCGCTTGAGTGTCTTTTCTGGTCTTGCTAGATCATGTAAGTCAGTGCCAATCAACACAATATCCGCACGCTGTACAGCATCTGTCTCAAGCCATTCGTCCGACCTGAAAATCGAGTGCCATAATCTGTCATAGGCTGTAGGCCGAAAGCCGAGAGTTTCCATAGCTCGAAATGCGGACACGGCGGGCAGGTAGCTGGTAATCATAACCCAAAGCTTACGAGGGAGTGTACGATAAGATACCATGCTTTTGATGTTTACATGAATGTGAAGAAGTAGCGCGGGCAAGTAGACATGCGCACACTATACACACGGTTCGGCGGTCCGACTAGTCAACTGCCGGTGCAAATGATAATGTTGTTCACAATTCAAAACTTAGAACCAGGTCATGTGAAATCAATTTCCGAAAAGCGGATCATCGGTTAGACACAAATATGATTCCAGATATGCTGCGAGACGCAAAGTTTGATTTAATGGGACCATATGGATTAAGTATTTTGACTGAAATACCCCAATATTACGATGCATATACTCGACCTGCCAGTGAAGTTGCTCACTGGAGTCGTAAATCACCTCACCTTAACTAGAGACATACTTTCTCTTCTTAAAGCAAACAGACTACTCTACCACTCATTCACCAGATATCTCTACAAATATGATACAAAGCATCATAATAGCTCTGCCTTGTTGTGGGCGGCTGAGCATGGAGAGATTCAAACAGCCAAATATTCCTTAGAAGGGGCCGTCAACAACATGATCGGACCTGCTCTGAAGCTTGCCGTCAAACATAGATCTTGGAAAGTGGTAGAGTTACTTGTTGAGAAAGGTGCTGATCTTGATGCACAGCACGAAAAGAACGAATATTTCGAAAGCGCATTGCAAGCGGCAGCATGGACCGGTAACAAGCAAGCAGTGGAGCTGTTACTTGATCTAGGTGCCAATGTCAATTCAAGAGGCGGGCACTATCATGATGCGTTACAAGCTGCTTCATGGTCTGGCAACAAAGATGTAGTAGCGCTCCTGCTCGAGAAGGGTGCAGACGTCAATTCCCAGGGCGGGTACTATGGTAATGCACTTCAAGCAGCTTCATGGATCGGTGCTAGCGAGATTGTAGGTCTTCTTATATCCAGGGGGGCTGATATCAATGCGATTGGGAGACATCATGGTACTGCGCTCCAAGCGGCTTGTTGGGACGACCGCACACAGCTAGTAAAGCTCCTACTGAGCTGCGGCGCAAATGTTTGTCTACAAGGTGGACTCTATGGTGATGCACTGCAAGCGGCTGCATGGGGAGGAAGCCCTCGTGTCGTGGACACTTTATTGGCTGGCGGGGCTAATGTTGATGCACAATGTGGATACTTTGGCAACGCGCTTCAAGCGGCAGCGTGGAGGGGCCACGGGCAAATCGTCTATACATTGGCTAGGAACGGTGCGAAGGTTGACGCACAAGGAACGCATTTCAGGAACGCAATAGACGCAGCTTCAAGCGAAGGCCACTATCAGGTAGCTTGGCTACTACGATACTGGCGCTTACGCCAGCGTTGTGCAGCTCTTACGCTGCATAGTTGAAGGCACACATGTTTACGAACACGGCACTCCCTGGCCTGGTTGGAATACACCCGAAGCCTGCTTTCTGGCGTATAAATACGACCTTATTGATTCACGTGCGTTCATGTATATTTATAATTCCTCACAAGTTACATAACTTATGTCTCGAATACCCGCAATTCTTCTAACACGACAATCCAAACAGCGTCTACATTAAGTTAATCGTATAATAGCGAAAAAGAGAATAACTTAAATACATAGAGCCATCCATCCTGACTCCATCGCAAACCACTTGATCTTGTCTAATTTCTCAACGTCTTGTGTGCTGGCAACTCCTTGTGACGTTCCAGCTTGGCCTTCAGTTTCCGTATCAGCGCTTTTTCTTTCGAGCCAAGAATCGCCCTGAGCTCCTCAATGCTGTACTTTTTGTTCTTCCCTCTGCGGCCTCCCCTCTTGACATGGGTCCAATAGTGGTCTTTTAAGTTATCACTTCGGGAGAACGCCCTCCTGCATACCTTACAGTGATAGTCGCGTTGATCCCCGTGCACGGTTCTCAAATGGCGACGAAAATGCTCGGGGCGGACGAAGCGTCGATCGCAGTGGCACTTATAAGAAGGTAGATAGGGTTTCACGCTGGGTATGACCCGGAAAGCAGCCTTGCAGTATTTTGGGATGCTGGTATCACTTCCTGACGACTCGCTTTCTGACGACTCGCTTTCTGACGACTCGCTTTCTGACGACTCGCTTTCTGAATCGTCAGAGTCGGTTGTTTCACCAGCAGCGTCTTCTGTGGCTGGCGCGAGGTCCGCTCGAAGCTCGGTTGGCGAACATTGAGCGTTATCGTAATAGGTCGAATGTTCAGATGGCCATTCCATGTTGGCTGTGGATGGTAGTGCATACACGTTGCCGTAGTTGACTCCTCGCCTCATGAGAAGATCTGACTCCGAAATGGCTCCCTCAATGTTGTACGCATATTGTTCTAGCATGAAGTTGTAATCGCCGGCGTAGGTCGACTGTCCTGTCGTATAGTTGAGAGGATACGGGTCGGGCCACTCAGGCTGTGGCACAACTGACATCGAGGCAACTTCGAAGCTAGGCGGATACGGAAGCCTCCATGACGGGTTCTCCTGGCATTGAAAGTCCATCATTTGCTGAAGCTTGAATGCTAAGATAGCCATGATAAGTTTGCGAGCGATTTTTGGGGAGGTGATGCTTACTAGATACGTCTCTCCAAACTTGTTCGGCCAAAGTAAACTCCAATGCGAATGACTTGAAGTACTGATCTGAAGGGCTAGCATGTGTTTTATATGTTCAGCGAGAAGGCCAGTCAAATGTTACCGCGGTGCTCTGATCAATTGTTGACGCTGACATCCATGTCCGCCCGCCAGGTAGACGGTTCATTGTTCTCAGTCCCAGACTAATGAGGCCGTCTACCCCAGGTATAGTGTCAACCTCTTTGAGAATTAAAGTAAGGATTGAATATGCTGTTGTGCGGCGAAGTGACCGGGGTAGGATGTGCAATTGTCTTTGGTTTTGAACGTTGCGAGGCTTTGGTCATAGATACACAATGCCGAACTGTTTACATCACGTCAACTGCCGGCTGCTGAATCTAGGTCGGGCCCGTCGTCTTCCTACCTACCTAGATTTTGATCGTGGCAGGGCCAAACGAGGCGGATTTAGCAAACGAAAGATGTCGTTGCAGACCTGTCGCGACATCCGCGCTTCTCGAGGGGTGCCACCCATGCTGGCAATCTGACAGCCGCGATGTTTGCACTAGTAGAGCAAGGGGGCGGCGTGAAGGGGCGGCAGCGCAGTACACCCACGTGCACTTGCGTACGCTCGCGTGCGCTCGCGTGCGCATCGTTATCGATCAGACCATGAACACCAATACGGTCATGAGCCTTTCCGATGTCGAGCAAATTTAGATCTAGAGCTCAGCAGGGTTGTGATCCTTTACATTGAGCGACCGACTCTGGGGATTTAGACACAATCGGAAGGCTTGTCCACACCGACTAGGTCGACTGCACACACTTCGTCACAAGCAGTCCATCCCTCCCGCTGTAGGGCGAGCTCGCTCTTCGCACAGATACCGAAACATCTTCATCTGTAGACCTAGATTGTAATCAGGATGGGCTCATTCAGATCTTATGGTGGGATGCTGGACGGTTTGTACACACTTTGGTATGTCCTGGTGCCGTGTCTTGGCTCTCGCGTTGAATGTGGAGGTGTGGCTTATTAGAAGGCTAGTCTGCAAACCCGTACGTGAGCCCCGGGTGCCGTTGACGAAAGCTCAGACGGATGGTTCAGCCTATGAGATCCAGCTACTTCATGCCCAGGCCGTCAATGACGATTCGTGCACTGACACAAGCAGGGCTGGCGGCCCTTGTGGCTGAGCACCAATTGCACTGCCCCTGTAGAAAATGTGGGGAGAGTTGCAGAAAACCGATCAGCGCACTCTCCAAGATGGGTCGTGCACAACAAATTCTAGTGACTGTGCATGTTTGCTTTGATGGACGTCTACCTAGGTACTTCGTCCAGCGGTCTGCACACCGTTTGCACCGAAAGTGGCTGTGCTATGCTGAGAGGCATTGAGATGACAACCTGAACCAATTTTCGTGTTCTCGGTTTCCAGTAACACGAAACGGAATCGTGTTTTCGTGGTGTTGGTGGACAAATCGCTCAGGGCCAATCCTCCAAGCGCTGCCAAGTCGAAGGGTTAGCCCCATGCGTCGTGGAACTCAACAGTTTCGAACACCCAATCACAAGGTCGGTTGTCATCAAGGCGAAACAGGGTCAGATACGGGGTCGAAATGGGTCACGAAAAGAAAAGTGGTTTTTTAAACCGAGAATTCAGTTACTGCGCTAAAACGTCCTAAACTATGAAGTCTCGCACACAGGACTGACAGCTCAAATCTAGGTTATGAAGGATGATTTTAAAGCAGAAAGTGGACGAAGTGTGGTCGTAGTTAATTTTCCGAGGATTTATATTAGAAAATGTTTGTTGTAGCTATAGATTGTCCCTAAGGTCTTGTGGTCTAGTGGTATGATTCTCGCTTAGGGCTGTAACCCCGGGCATTGCTTGCGAGAGGCCCCGCGTTCGAGTCGCGGCAAGACCCCTTTTTTGCTGTTGATGGAGCACCGAGAGCACTCTTTTTGCCCATACGACGAGTAGTATATCTGTAAGAACTCTGTACAGAGAACACTTGGTCATGGGCATGTGCCGACCTGCTCTGTCGAGTTGAGAATTTGAGGGCAGACTTTGCATACATAGTTCGGCATTGCAAACACACTTTTGGTTTCCTTGAGAAAGGTTGTTGCTTGCTAAACAATTTTCTTGCGTTGGAACCCTATCTCGTCTTATTTGCGAATTGTTGTATCACCTATTGTGGGGCACCTATGGGCTGATGAACCTGAGAGTGCTACTTAAGACCTCGGGAGTACTAAACTCGACAACAAGAATTCACACCTCGAAACCTTCTACTCAGCGCTGTAACACGCTGAACTCGTCTAAATGATCTTCTTTCAGATCGCACAAAGCGAGATCAGCAGGGTGATTTCGAGCCTCAACGATCTATTAGCTCAGCACGTCTACTATTTGTCCTAACACCTGTGTCAGCTTTGCAAAAAATATAGCTATATGGACCACAAAATTTCACTGCGGGCTATACTGAAGACACGCATTGTCTTATTCTCGCAGATTAGTCTTACATCTATTTACTCGGGGTTAATCTTCTGAGTCGTAGATTTTACATTCATAGCGCCTGTTGCACATGGAAAATGCCTGCTTGCTAACTGTACTTGTTAGGACGCAGTAGTAGTAGAACACGAGACATAGCTGCGACTAGTTTGTTCTTGAGAGAAAAAGAGTGGAGTAGTGACACTGTGAACCGCGTGCTGGGCTATGCACTGAACGCCACCTTGAGACTCTTGAGCAAAAAGCTTCAATCAACAAACATCAAGTTACTGCAGGATGAAGAAAAGCAGCGGAGGATTAAATTATCGATCGAGAGGGAAATGTCAAGCATACCAAGACTGCGTACCCCTGACCGTCCAAGGTACGTTCCGCTAGCTGCCCAAACTTGTTTGCCATCGCCGTAGTCCACCTCCCATAGGCCCGACTCTCATCTTGTCATGTTTCACGCTCCATCACGCGAGCCACACGCCCATCGCAACCTCCGGCGCCGCCCACCTCGCTACAGGCACTTCCCCACGCACCAAGCACATCACCCGCCGATCGACCGTGAGCCCAAGCATGCATGATACTCCTTATCTCGCCGCCGAGTGCGATCTGGGCAGGTGTATGGACGGGCACGCGACGAAAGGAGAAGGTGTTGGCTAGCGCGAATTTCGACCCTGGCCAATGGCGCGCCGAGTCAATGCCAACTACCAAATCAAGCGCATACCGAGCATTTGGCCCAGGACAGCAGTCGCCTTTCATTTGGAGGGAGCGCCAGATTAGGCTGGTGATGATGGGAGAGTAGGGTAGGTATATATGCGCGCTTGGTCGCGGTGAGTTGAGGAGAGCACGCGGTTTGCTATTCTCTCGTTCTCCATCCGTGCAGCCTCGCTATCTCTACTGTCGTTTGTTTGTTCGTCCGTCGACATCATGAAGTATTCACTCGTTGCGTCGCTCATCCTGCAGAGCACGGTTGTGCTCGCGGACCTCTTGCCTGTGCACTTCAAGGCTCCGACTGCGGCACACTTCTTGGAAATTGTTCGCAACGACACATACGACTTTGGATGCAGGCCCATTGCTCACCCTACCGACGATGGCCACTTCACCCTGCATGCGCTGCTCACGGAAGACCAGATCGCCCATGTCACCAAAGAGTTCCAGTACATGCCGGAGCTGTCGATCCACAAGCAGGATCTGTCGAAGAGAGCAGCAACCGCGCCAATTGGAACTGGAGATCGTTTCAAGTCTGGAACTGTTGCGCCTGTTGGACTCGGAAGTCAAGCCTCGGGCACGACCATTGCCAGCATCATGAACGTTAATGAGATCAACTCCGCTGTTCAAGCTCTTGTCAAGACATATGGTGTCAGCACCGTCACGCTCCCATACAAGACATTCAACGGCGCGACCCAGACCGCTGCGTTCGTTGGCGCCGGCACAGACAAGTCAGCGTACCATCTCTACTTGAGCGCCGGAATGCATGCTCGCGAGCGCGGTGGACCCGACAACCTCATCTACTGGATCTCCGACTTGCTCGCCGCCAACAAGGCCGGCAGCGGCTTGACCTACGGCCGCAAGACTTACACCAACGCACAAGTCAAGTCTGTCCTTGCAGCTGGAATCGTCTTCTTCCCAGCTGTCAACCCCGACGGTATCGCGTACGATCAGTCGAGCGGCTCCCTGTGGCGCAAGAACCGCAACACCAAGTCTGGCTCCAGCGGCTCCTCCATCGGCGTCGACATCAACCGCAACTTCGACTTCCTCTGGAACTTCAAGAAGTACTTTGCTTCCAGCGAGTCGCCTGCTTCGACCTCGCCGAGCTCAGAGGCCTTCTACGGCACCGCTGCTGCATCTGAGCCCGAGACGAAGAACCACGTCAGCGTGTACGACTCGTTCCCCAAGATCAGGTGGTTCATGGACATCCACTCCGCTGCAGGAGACATTCTGTACTCGTGGGGCGACGACGAAGCGCAGACCACCAACACCCAGATGAACTTCTTGAACGCTGCGTACGACGGCAAGCGCGGTCCCGTCGGCGACACTGTTTACAAGGAGTACCTGCCCGCTGCCGACAACACCAACATCAAGGACGTCGCCTCCAAGACGGTGGCTGCCATGAAGGCAGTCGGCGGACGATCGTACACAGCCATGCCGGCCGTTGGTCTTTATGCCACATCAGGTGCTAGCGATGACTATGCGTACAGCAGACATTTCGCAAACTCGGCGAAGAACAAGGTCCACGGATACACGATGGAGTTTGGATACTCGACCAACTTTTACCCGACGAGCAGTGAATTCAACCAGAATATCCTGGATACGAATGCTGGATTTATGGACTGGGCGCTTGCGGCTATTGCTGTTGGTTTAGAGTAGAGGACGGGAGATGGGTGCGACGCGTGATGATGTTATGATAATAGATACCAGTAATCGATATTAAGATATTCCTTGACGATTCGTAAACTTTGTGAAGTGTGGAAAATGAGAATCGAGCCGTAGTAAAGCAGAGATTAGGTGTGGGCGCCATCGTGCTCTTCCAGCTATGTGCTGATGCCTCCTTCACCAGGCAATGGAAATCATAGAATGGACCCTTGAAAGAAGTATTCAACCCTCATCCACGATGACGCTCGCGTCGATGCTGGTGTGTCGGAACATACGAAACTTTGATGCAATGCTCCACAAACATCTCTCGAATCTCATTGAAATAAGTCGTGGTTACTTTGCGCTCGTCGCGCGCCTTGATCACCAATTGATGGTCACGTCTCGTGCTCTCGAACGTCATCTTATTGGGGATCATGTCCCCCGCCATTTCAGCGATGCTAGCGTGCGGCGAGCGGTGTGTCCAGCGCCAATATTCAAGGTTAACAGAGCTCAGGTTGCAGCTTCCTGGCTGCTGGACTGCGTATGACGCCCACAAGTTTTGAAGCATGTCGTGGGCGTGGGTGTTGTAGCGTGTGTGAAGTGAATGTTCGTCATTGGAAGTGACCCTTGCGGACATGGAGAGGCGTTCAAGTGACGGAATGAACGGAATACTCTGTGAGGTGAAGTCAGTTTTGTCTTTGCTATCAAAGATACGACGAGTGCATTATGTTTACTTACTCCTACACTGCAGGGTACGGAGCAAAGACCACAACGGACGTAGGGTGAGAAGGAGGAGCTCGGCATGACTAGCTCTAAGGCTCTCAACGCAGTGAAGGAGCTCAGGAATCGAGACAGTCCGTCTCGACAGACGGAGTCAGCACAGGGTTGGCGGCCACGTTTCAGCGAGAGAGATTCCAGCCGCTCTCCGTGTGCCTCTACCAAAAGGCGCCAGAAGTTATGGGATAGGTCGATGTCATCATACCGGACGACGAGGGCTTTCAGATTGTGAAGCGAGGACATGAAGTTGCAGAAGCCATCCAGCCGTGTAGCACAAGGCCGATATGGATGACGCTGTGTTTGAACGAAGACATCCAGATACTCTAGTCGTAGCAGCTCACAAGTAAACGTCTCGAAAAAAGATCCGTAGTTGGAGCAGTTCAGCGTAAGTCGTTTCAACCTCGACCAGTCAATGCATTGCTGGAGACAGAGGCAATGATCCTTGTCGAATGTGTATGTCCTAGCCTTGATGGCCAGTTCTTCCAGTTTGGGCAGTTGGTCGGTGGGTGTTAGGGGAAGCTGCACGTTAATAGCGGGTATGAACGTCTCCTCGTCCACAGACTTATCATTCTGATTGAGCAGTGTTTGAACTGGATCGGAGTGCCGAGTCGATCCATAAGACGCTAGACTCGCGCTCTGATAATTTCTATACTCTTGCATCACAGCATCGCGTAGATTGCAATCTAGGTGAGCGTCTATGCTGAGAGCACGCACATTGTGATTGTGCATGAGCACTTGCCTTAGTTGCTCGAAAGGTGCTAACGAGCTGGGATTGATGACATCTGAGCATGGTATCGATATCGACAACCGATGAAGTTGAGACGATTTGACAGTCTCATGATCGAGTTGTCGTATGGACACACATAATTGTGCAAGAGGATGATGGAGATGCAGCGCACTGAGAAGGCTTCTCGGGAGCGGCACTTCAGTGTTCCAGCTGTATTTTTGTAGTTAATTTCAAATGCTTCAATCCTGGAAGCAAAAAGACGACGACTTCGAATTTGAAATATTGGGATCAGTTGGCTAGAGTTGCAATACATACCTGAGAGAATCCAATTTATGGATGCACTTGAGACAATCTTGTAGCATTCGTGCGTTCATACACAGGCTTCCCTCATCACCTCTGAATGATCGGACGTGCAAGAAGCGCACTTGATGTCTCAACGCATCGGTAGGATCAAGCAGCCGCTCGATGCTTCGAAAAGACGCTTGCTCCTGGACGTCATTGTCTTCTTCGAGAACAATTGTGCGATACAATTCAGAATCAGCAAAGACACCCAGGCGACGCGAGATGGAACGCAAGCAGCG